AATCTTATAGGGCGCACTGTTGAGAAATCACTTTTGGATTCTGAGAAAGGTCTTGAGTAGACTAATAATATATATAGTATATAACAGGAAATGCTCTAATTAAGCTGAATTTTGACCAGAATATAGCTGGCCAAATTAGTTCTAACCAAATTCACCCTAAGGGCATTGGAACATTGCTCCAAGTATGGGCAGTATGTTTACCTGCTTTATCGATTTTGCAACTTCCTTTGATCCAATCAATAAGGCAGCGCTATAGCAAGTCATAGGGCTATGGCAAATCATCGTATTCAAGGCATCAGATATGTATATATGGGGAATTTACATAGTTTTGAAGTATGCCGTGTCATCAAGTTTGCATTCTCTTCTTTATAATTTTGGACCAAATGCGTTATGGACACAGCTTGCTTACTCAAAAAGCGTGCAAATTAGTCCATAGTATCATTGTTCTGTCCTTTTCTCCAACAATTACGCAGACGCTAAACTAGGTATCGACAGCAGAAGTAAAAAGCCTTTAAATCAATACTCCATGCTGTTAAGACCCCAATTCAAACAAATTTGCCAATGGTCGAAAAAAATATCAAACATTTCACCAAAAATTTCGGGTTCGTTCTCGTGAACCAGGCGATATATGAAATTCCAGCTTGAAACTTGAAATAGCCAGAGAGGTGGCTTTTTTCATCTGATGAATTCTCTCTGGAGTCGCCATGAAATCAGCCTTAAATCAAAAATTTGTATCTAATCTGATTTGTATCTGCCTGTAACGACTGTACACATTCCTGCTATACGGCCAATGAGAGGGGAAGATGTCAATTAACTACTAGGTATCTATCTGCCTTTGACCATTCTTGCCTAAAGTACATCTTATCTGCTAAGTGGACACACGTGATTGCACACTTCGCTTGAAAACCATCTGTATAAGAACATCATCACAAAGTGTCGCTGCTTTGGCAGTGTTCTTGGGGATTTTGAACGCCAAGATAAATGGACTTAGGTGGCGGTTAAAGATGTGACTTCATTTACATCATTGCAGAATTGAAACTGCTTACCCTGGTCATCAGTGGAGAGAGCAACGGTGTGGCTAGAAGAAAAAGAATTCGATTTGATTTTCCAAATTCTAATTCTAATTATAATTTTGCGATTGAGATTGAGATGATTTTTTGTCGAAATGATTGATATCATTTTTGAAGATTAAGCATCCGAGAAGTGCGTTCAACAAGTGAATAATTCAAATGAACAGTTGTTTAAAGTCGAAATTTCTTAAAATTAAAAAATTTTTATTGAAAAAACAAGTTTGGGGAGGGAAATGTTGATTCTAATTTCGAGCAACCGCGGAAATTGTTATCAAAAAAATCGCAAGAACAGCTGTTTGGAATCGAAATGCTTCTTGAAAGATGAAAGGAGCACATAATTCAAAGAATTCAGATAGAATGGAGGATTAGAAGAATCCGTCTTTCTTCCAACTTTTCTAACTTCAATATCGGATTATTGAAATTTAGATAAAATTAAATTTTAACAGGGAAAAAGAGCAGAAAATCCATGGGCACTGATTGAAAGTATCGAAATTGATATAGCACTTCGTAATTTATTTAGTTACTTTCCATTTGTTTATGCCGAGGGAAGATGCAAGACAGTGCGACATGCTCGTGCTTAACCATAAACACGGCAATTATGGTTCATTTAGCTGCGGTGTTTTCATTTATTATGTATTTTACTCATTCTACATGTTTAGGCGATAAGTTTTTCCCATAATTCAAGAAAAGTGCAGCGAAAAATTGACGGAAATTATCGAACGTATTGCAGTATTGGACTACTCTTGCACCACTGTTCCATTGTTTTCTCAAAAATCAATTCTTAAAAGTTTTTACCGTAATATTCCCGTGCAGTCCCAAAATTTTATTTTTTCAATCTTACAATTCATTTGCTCACATTTTAGTTAAGTTTTAGAATTTTGCAAAAAAATCAGAAAATATCGTATGATGAAAACAACTTGGGCTGAAAACTGGACTCTGCACCATTCGGATTTCGGAATTTCAGAATTTACTCGAAAAAAATTTTTAAAATAGGGCGAAGAATGGCACTTGTCTATGACAATCTAAAAATATCATTTTTTATAGTTATTTTCTTTAAAAAGCTTCTTTTAATTGACAATTTTCCACTGTCTTTTAGTAAGATGAGATAATTTTGCTAGGTGAGCCGCTTGGGAATAGAAATAAAAGTGGGTATTCAGCCTCACTGTGGTACATTTTAATCACATGACACTTCCAGATGTTGCCAGTTGATAGTGGCTGAGCCGTGAAATGTCACTCTATTCAGTCATGTCGTCTCTCTATCCACAGTTTTATGCGGGATTCTTATTGGATTGGATTATTTCATTAGTAATAGTAGTGATAAATCTTTTCATAAAAATAATCGTTTAAAAATAGTCGCAGTTGAGGATATTACTTTATTGATTGAATACTGTTTTTCCTAAATTTTTATGAAATTTTATTAAAATTTTCAATATAGTTTTAGCAACCACCATTGGTGTTCGCAATAAAAATACTTTCTCTTTTTTCTTTTTTTAAATTTCGATTTTATTCATAAGTAATCAACCATTCATTCGCCGTGGAATTTCATATTCTTTAGTAAATACAATTGTTTTATTTTTCGTGCCTAAAATGTTCTTTTATCTTTCTTTTTTTGTTCACATTCGCCTCAAAAATCTCTAAAGCAATAACCATTTGTTTATGACACTTTTTGACAAATTAGTGATCAGGAAGCGAAAAAAAGTTTAAACCAAAATTATCCCTCTTTGAGAAAAAAAAGTGCATGCAATATGAAAAATTGAATAAATAAAGTAATGAATTTCCGAAACATAAGTTTCCACCCAATTACATTTTTCGAATCCCGAAAAATTCCGAAAAAATGATCCGCTTCGGTATTTGCTTTATTATAATAGCTCGTAATATTTACTATAAATATTCGTAGTATGCGTTTGTTATTGGTGACATTTTCCAAAATCAGATTTTCCAATTTTCTAAGTCTTTAGAGCAATCGCGATTCTTTTTCTCTCAGAGTTATCCGAAAAACCGTAAATGGTTCAGCCAATGTCTTTGCTCTGAATCAACCTTAATAACTGTTCAATTCGAGGCACAGAACTGCATAATTTTTGACAAATTTTTTGTTGCAAAAGTCATAATTTTTAATTATTTTAGATATAAATCTTGTTCGAATTTTTAAATGTTTTAGATTCAATTTATAATATCGATGCATAAATTTTCAGGAAAGATTAAAATATAGCAGAAAAAAAAAATCATTTATTACAATCAAAACTAAAAAATAGCGACCGGCATCCACCATTAAAGTTATAAAATTTTTTGTTAAAATGTTATTAAAATAAAACAAAATTTTTTTAAAAATAAAGTGGAGAAATATTAAAAATAGCGGTTATTATTCGATACTTATACTATCTACAATAAGAAAACTACATCAAATTACAAAATATTTCTCGAAGAAAATCCTGGTTATGTCCATTTTCTAATTTGCTTTTGATAAAGCAATTAATCGTTTACCATTGCAATTTTTACAATAAAGATGTTGGTCAAGAGGATAACAACTGAAATTTGTACAATTAGAAAATAAAACACGGTTATATTTCTCGTCTCAAAAATAAAGATAATAAAATAATTGTGACTAGAATTTTTAACTAATTTTCCATTCCATAAATTATGATCAGAATTCTTCTTCTTTCAATAGCTCTCGCTGCTACAAGGGTAAGACGTTTCCAAGTGGTGCGGTCTGATGCCATCAGCAATAGAAGCCATTCCTTTTTCCATCGTCTAAGTCCATATGCCGCAGGTCTCACATACATTCGAAATCTTTCTTGACTGTATCACTCTAGGTCTTGACTGGTCTTCCTCACTTTTGACGCCATCCACCACAAGATTTAACAAGTAACAAAACATGTAAACTCTTGTGGTGGACGACAGAGAACGTGCCATAACCACCGAAGGGAACGCTCTGTGATAACATTATTAATATAGGTGGTGAGTGAAGATGGATATACAATCATGAATGTTTTATCCGCTCGACAGATCCGTAAAATATATCTTAAACATGAGAAGTCAAAGGTTGGTAGCTTCTTAACATCTTCCACTCTCATTGATCATGTTTCGCAACCATATATAACAAGATCAAGCGAATTGTAGCTATATGGACGCAGATTTTCATTTTTATGGTGATTTCGTGATGGTTCAACCGGAAAAAATGTCGTCATTTCTAGCTGTCGTTATCCGAGTTAAAATTTCATCCTTTGCTTGGCCATTTAGGATTAGAGCGGATCCAAGGTATTTAAAGTACTTTCAAGCAATGAATTGACAAAAATAGGCATTTTGTCAGCATCTTTTATATAAGGCGAAAATACTTTCGTTTTATTTACATTGATTTTGAGTCCAATTTTCGCTGTAATTATTGACACATTGTTATTTGCAATTCCTCATAACTGCCAGCAAAAAGGATTAATCATAAGCGTATTTAAGGTCTGTGATGCTATGATCTGAACTGATTTGCACACCTTTTGAGTGTCGACAAGCGATGCTCATTATCCAGTCTATCGCATAGTTGAATATTGCAGGGGGAAGAATGCATCTTGAACGGACAGCAGTTTCAAAGGGATCAGTCACCCCATATACATAGACCTGTACCAAGGTATATTAATAAAATGCCTTTATGAACCGAATGATCTTCGCTGGGACATCGTCAGATTCCATCACTTTCCAGAGGGCTGCTCTATCAAGCGAATCGAAGGCTGCTGCAAAATCGATAAAGCAAGTGACTGGTGGGTTGCTAATATTTAAAACGATGTTCCAACATTCTTCTTAAGCGTAAATATCTAGTTAGCACAGCCGCGTCCCGGTCTGAATCCAGCTTGATTAGGGCACATATTGCTATCTCTAATTTATAATCGCAATAATCGGATTATCAATTACTGGTATAATCCAGCAATTCATTTTATTTTTGTGTCACATCAATAAACTCAATAAGCGAATATAAAAAGCTAACCCTTGGCCTTCAAGTTTAGAGCTTAGTTGTAAATTGCAATCTTCACACCGATAACAGTTGACATGAAAACTTTTATCCATTGCCACGACTCGAACTGATTCCTTTTCACCATCTTCAGGTATTATCGGCTTTGAACATACAGCACAACGTGGTGCATATTTTCTAGATAAGGAAGATGTAATATCAAATTCTTAAATTAACCTTATTTTTTTACCATTTTATGAAGAGATTTATTTTCTAAATTTATTTACTAAAAATTTAAAAGAAATTTTGAAAAATAGTTGCTAAAAAAAGAAATAAACAAAAAAAGCAAACTCGTGGAAGCACTCGACGCAATGAATTTGATTCGAAGAATTCACTGTAAATGGTATGCCATCCAAGCATTTTTTGCAGATAGTGCATACAAAACATGCTGGATGATAGGTGCCGCCAGATGCTCGTAATAATTTATCCATTATCGGTTCACCACAACTTGAACAACGTTCCAAAGTATTCTGAATATTTTTGCACTATATTTTATATTTGCAACCTTTATGGTGAGCTCATAGAAAAACGGTTATATTTAAAAATGCAAAAAGATCCCCGTCGAGTTAATTTAAATTGTCGAATAAATTATGCTATTACCACATATCGGAAATTGTTCTGGAACGATTAATTTTTAAAGGAAATAGAGTCGTCACATTATAATCGACGAATACCAACAACCTTTCGTAAAACTCAAGGAGAGACAAATATAATATAATGACGAGAACATTACGAGACTTCTGTACTTTTTTTGATAAAGAATTTATCTCTCTTTTTACAAAAAAAATCCTCTTCATTGACCAAGTTTTTATCGCCAAACTTTATTATCACTTTACTTCATAATAATTCTTTTATATTCTTTTTTAATACTTAATGCTTTTTATTCTTAATACTTCATGCATTATATTCTTTACATTCTTACTTTTCTTTTTCTTCATCGGTTTTTACATTTTTTAAATTTCCTAGTTTATAAATTTTTTCAGGCTTGATTTTTGATCACTGAAATAAAAAGAATAATCTTCTTCTTTTAATAATAATTAATAATAATAGTAATTAATAATAATTAATAATGATAATTAATAATTATTAATTATCATAATAATTAATAATGGTAATAATAATAACCTTATAATCTTGTTCACAAAGTGGCTTTCCATCAACATTATAAAAAGATCCACCAGCAAGAGGTTTATCACATTCTTTGCAAGTAAAACAAGCAATATGAAATGTTTGATCGAGTGCCGTACATCCTGAACGACTACTTGTTATTGCTTCCCCACATTTGTTGCAATTATCTGAAATAATTATGAATTATTTTTGTTGATGATTTTTTTAGAAAAAAATTTTTTTTTCCATCAATTTAATAAAAATAAAGGGAAGCGATGGTCGAATGTTGTTATGAACAAGTCCCATAGGTCCCATTCCTGCCTCTGCAAGAAGTACCAAACATATTGTTGAACGTGAAATCTGGATGGTGACCCACTCAGAAAAAGGTTTCAACCTATGAGTCAACTAAACAAGAAATGACGAAGAGAAATAATATAGACAGAAAAAATTTGATATCATCTATAAGCCAAAATTTATTTCGAAATTTATACGAAAAGGCTGTTCAAACAATTTCCAATGGATTTTTTAAAAAAGCAATTCTACTTTTAAACTCATTTTGCGAAAATATTTGATCAGGCAAAGCCCATTGATTTAGTTATTTGTTGTCCACGCTTTACAATATTTCGACTATTATTGTTATTATTATTATTATTATTATTATATTATTACTATTATTATCATTATTATTTATTATTACTGTTACTATTATTAATATTAATAGTTAGTTAATGAATTTTATAAGCTATATAAAGGCAATGTTTATGCTAATTAATTATTCCTCGGCCATACACAATTTTTTTTTGTGGAATTTAAAAAATGATATTCCCCTTGATGGAAGTCTCTTTAAATCTCTTTGCGAAAGATTTAGCGGGACCAGCACCTTCTGAATTTCATTCTTAAAGGCAGAAATCGAAGCTATGATGTTTAGCCAGAAGCAACATATCGTTCGACCATTCTTTTGTGTACAACAAATATTTATTGGTCATTTTCAGTATTTATGCAAATCTTTAATGAATTTCTTCTTTTTCTAACAGCTCTCACCATTATTGGTTAGGCTGGCTTCGCTGGCTACAAGAGAAGAGTGTCTCCAAGCTACCTGGTCCGACGCCATCGCTAGTAATAATAGAAGCCATTCCTTTTTCCATCGTCTAAGTCCATATATCGCTGATCCCTCTATATTCAAAATCTTTTCTGACTGTATCAATCCAGGTCTTGATTGGCCCTCCTAGCTTTTGACGCCATCCATCACACGGTTTACCAAGTAACGAAATATGCTCAACTCTTGTGGTGGACGACGAAAAACATACCCTAACCAGCGAAGACATTATTATGATAACATTATTATTAATGTAGGTGGTATTTGAGTGAAGGTGGATACAGATGGATCATGTGCGATTTTATCTGCTCAGCGGATCCGTAGAATGTACCTTAGACATGAGTGGTCAAAGGCTAATAGCTCCTTAATATCTTCCACTCTCCTTGGCTATGTTTCGCAGCCATATAGCAAGATCGAAAGAATTGCAGTTATATGGACGCGGATTTCCGTCTTTATGGTGATTTCGTGACGGTTCCATAAAAATTTAATCATCTGGAAAAATATAATTCTAGCTGTCGTCATCAGAGTTATAATTTTATCCTTTGCTTGGCCATTTAGAATTAGAGTGGATCCAAGGTATTTAAAGTACTTTCAAGCAATGAATTGATAAAAATAGGTATTTTTATCAATTCGTATATAAGACGAAAATACTTTCGTATATAAGACGAAAATACTTTCGTTTTATTTACATTGATTTTGAGTCCAATTCTTGCTGCAACTCTTGACACATTGTTTAACATTATTTGCTTTTCATTATAATTGATAGTAAAAAGGACTACATCATCAGAATATTCAAGGTCTGTGATGCTATGCTCTGGACTGATTCGCACATTTCTTAAATGCCGACAAGCGATACCCATTATCTAATCTATCGCATAGTTCAATATTGTGGGGGAATGGACGCAACGCTGACGGACACCAGTTTTTATTTCAAAGGAGTCTACCAGTTCTCCATATACACTTGCGCCAGGGTATGCTGATAAAATGCCTTTATGAACCGAATGATCTTCTCTGGAACACCATCACATTCCATCACTTTCCAGAGTGTTGCTTTATCAATCGAATCGCCTTTGGCTGCAAAATCGATAAAGCAAGGTGGATTGCTGTTATTTGAAGCGATTTGAAGCGATGTTCCAGTCTTAGCGTAAATATCTGGTCAGCAAAACCGCATCCCAGTCTGAATCCAGCTTGGTTATGATGCATTCTGCTAACTCGTGTTGTCATGAGTCTATTTAGCAGAAGGGAAGCGGAAAATTTTTTTTTAATGAATTTGAACTTTATAAATAGATTCGTAAAAAAAGTCATAAAATATTTCAGTGATATACCACTGAAAAAAATTTCACATTTTCACAAATTCTTTTTTTCTTCGCCTTTAAAATCTGTTGATGCACAATTTCCGCCAATAATTTAAACAGATTACTTTAGTTCTAGATGATACTGACCAGTTATTTATATTTCTACCGCCAAGTGATATATTTCGAGGCAAAAATTTTTCATCGCACTAACAACCAGTAGGGTGCGCCTAATTACAAATGGTGATCATTAACCAATTACTATTATTTTAGTCATATTATATTAATCATCATATTTTAATTAAAAATATTAAAATTTTTATGCTATCTATTCATTCTCACTATGCGTCCCTATGATTTACGTTCAATGATTCCGTTGTCAGTGTTTATTGTTAATAACAACCAGTATAGTACGTAATTGATGAATCTTTCTCGTATATATTCAATACTGAACAACTGTTTTATGACAGAGTTTAAACACGAAATTTTATAACTTGGTTTAATGAGCAAAATTATATGAATGTTAGCAAAAACTTCTTTAGTCACATGCAATACCAAAAGTCAAATGTAAAATCAAAGTCAAGCATGAATTTGTGTAGAAAAAACCCTGTAAAATCCTAGAAAAATATCATGCACTATTTGAACTTCAAGAATGCTTGAGAATAAAGAAAAAATAGCAAGAATTAATTGTCTGACCTAATTATGAGGGTTCAAAAAATTTCCTAAAATATTCTATCGATATTCCATTTCCTTCTTTCTGATCATTATCTCAGATCAATGAAACTGTCCTTGAAAAAAAGTACATTGGCCTCGATAAATCGCAATAAGATTCGGAACAAGATTAAGCTGAATCACTCTTCGATAATAATTTTTTAATAATAAATTTTTCGATAAATTTTTAGATCTTTTCGTTCAACTTGGTAAAATTTGTATTCTTTAGAATTTTGAATTTTTGTAGTCGAGAATTTATGCCATTAATTGCTTATAAATTTTTGATTTAAATTTGAAAAATTAAAAAATGGTATTTTTGCACAAAAGATTTTTAGAAAATTTTAGAACGACATCAGGGGCATCAATCTTTGCATGGTGATAATATGCCTCATTATAAAAATTGAAAATAGTTTGGTGCTGGACACCAAAGAGCAACCCAAGCTCGACACCTAGATTTTCATTCCCGAATGATTATCTGGAAAAAGGACCTCCTGATTCTTCATTATATATCGAATTAATGTTCAGCCCTGTGGTTTTTTTCCTTGAACTTAGTAAATTCTAATTAGGAATCAAAGCGAATTTTTTTCTTTTATTATCGAAGGATTTTGCCAATATATCTCTATCATATAATTAAATGAAATATAACAGATTCTTTAGACTCAAAATACGAAAAATTTAACAGTTTCTTTATCTTAATTAATCTAAAGTGACTGCCTGATTTGAGAGCATAATTATAATTGAGAATGGCAAGAATAAGAATCGCTTATGCTATCATACTTCCTAATTATCTAAAAGCTCAAATATACGGCTTTTAATTTATATTCTCTTTAATGAGTTCAAATATAATGTTCTAAAGATTTAACCTGGTTACAAGAAAATATTAAAGACCTCAAAATTAGGCAAATAATTCGTGAAATTAGGTTATTTCATTAATAAAATTTGCATGTTTTATGAAATTTCCCTAATTATAAAAACATTCGCATATCGTAATGTTTGTTATCAATGAATTCAATGGAACTATCAAATTGTTGACTAAATTGTTTCGCAAATCAATAACAAAAAATTGTTATGAATGAGAAATTTAAAAGATGCATTAAGCATAAAAATGGCGAATTGATAGTTTTAGTAATGACAATGCGATGAAACTAAAATGCGACGACTGATGCCAACCCATACTTTTATCTCAAAATGATTCTCTGATGGTGGTGCCTCAACGAAATTAAGCGAATATTCAGCACAGACAACCAAACCGAAGATGGTGGATGTGTTAGAAGAAGAAGAAAAATGAAATAAACTAAAGAAAAGTGAAAAAAAAATGATGCGAAAAATTTGCAAAATTTTCAAAATAAGAATGGCAACAAACAGTTGATAAATTATAATATAAATAATAGTATTAATAATATTTATTTATTATTTAGTAAATGTTTCACTAGGTGTGGAACAGCTCAGTGAGCCATTTTTCGAAGTGATAGTACTGGGATTGTACTTCCGTCAGAAGTAAACCAACCTTTCAAAAATTGCCACGGTGATATTCCGCCTGTTTTTCTATTGCCTTGCCTTATGATTCGCAAAATCCCTTCCACTTTTTCACAAAATTTATAACAACCAGTAAGCTAGCAAAACGAGTCAAAAATGGTAAATGCTCTTATAAAAGACAAAGCATTTCGCTGAAATAGCTCAATTCAATAGACCAGTAGTGATTCTTACGATTGATTCTATTCGACATTCGACCTCACAGCGGCGAGGAAATAAAATTGGTACTTTCCAACAATCTGATTTAGATCAGATGAAAAAAAGCAGACCCGATGAATTATTTGGTGTCGACATGACTCGTTGCGGTGCTGCAATATAATGAGACCTTCGTTCGACACAACCCTCTTTTTTTATATAAACAGTATACTTGTGTCTATAATGCCAACCCATCCTTTCAAAAATTACCGCCCCCCTCGAACAAATTCTCCTTTGCACGTTTCCTTTCTCTCTCACAAAATTTCCTCCCACTTCTTTGCCAGCAATTTTCATCTTTTTGTCGCTTTCTCTCTTCCTCTCTCCTCTTGAAATGAAATAGTAAATACTTTCGGAGATTCTCTATCAAAATTATATATTTCAAATTATATATTAGGTTCACCGATACTTTGATGATACAGATAATTAGAATAATAACAATAACAATAATTGCAATAACAAATAATAGTAATAATAACAATAGTAATAATGAATATTATTGTAATATTAATATTAATAATATTAATAATAAATATGAATAAATAACGTGATAAATAATGATAAATAATAAAATTAATAAAAAAATGTTAATAATAACAATAATAATAAAAAGTGAAAATAATAAATAATAACACTACTAAAAATAATAATGATAAATTTTATATATCATTAAATCGTTATAAAATTTTTCAATAATAATTCAGTTGACGGGTTTTAAAATATATGTATATAAAATAAAAAATTCTGCGTTGACAAGCAGATGTCTAAAATAAAAAAAACTTCCAACAAACATCGAAAATAATGAAAGGAGAGATTAGTTTTAAATGGGACAATAAAATAGCCACTAAAAGAGATTTCGGTTTTGGTAAGTGCGCGCCTGTGCTTTTGTCGCCAATTATTTCACTGGCAAAATAGTCCCTTAGTAGCTACTGGAGCTAGAAATGGCGAATAACTAATGCCAAATTCTAGAGCAGTACAGTGATAATACAGTTTAAAAATGTCAAGGAAAGTATTAGCAAATCTTTTGAATTGCCTGCTGAAACTGATCGCAGTGCGGAAAAAATAAAAGGAAAATCTGTTGGAGATCATCAGAGACAGAGAATCTAAAAAGAATCTGAGAAAAGAATCTCTTAACTTGAGCACCAGGAACTAGCAACGATTCTAGAATGATTTTTTCATAAATGTTAGCAATATATCAAGAATAATTATATTAACCTAAATGTACTAACCTAAAACACGATTTCATGGGGCAAAAACAATTCAAATATTCCATAAACTTATTTATTTCTTTGAAAATGTAAAGCGTTCACTCAAATCCGATTTATTGGGCTAATTTATACAGAAATCTAAAACTGTTTCCAGAAAATAATTGGAGAAATAATATATTGTCAAACTCGACCACTGAGCAAATGCGATAAATTGGCACTTATACATTAAAATATTAATCACAGATGTACGATCAGATTTGGATGAGCGTAAAAATTGTAAATGAGTGCATGGAACTCATCCTACGAAAATAGTTAGTGATAAGTAAATAGCAAAGTAGAATGGAATGGTCGACTGGTCGATTGCTTCGACTAATATCCAACCATTCCTATCCTTTAATGGTAATAGACTCATCTTAAAAAGTGGAATTCTGACTATGCTGGTTCCAAATATAATTGTATCCTCAAGTGAATCTTTGAAATGGTTTCATCCTAAAAGTCATCCAAGCCATAAATGGTGAATCCTATTCGGAGAACATGAAAGATTAAATAAAAAATGGTCAGTAAATGAAGCAACAATGAATACCTTAAGCCGAATAATTTACCAAATTAAGAAAAATATCAAAATGAAAAAAAAATATCGATGGGAAAAATGAATATATTTATTAAAATTACAGTTATAGAAAAAAATTATAGTTATAGTTACGAAAAAAAGAATGAGCAAATACAATTTTTGATATTTATTATAAGTTCCTTAACCAATCAAAATTATAAAATTATAAACGATTCAACGAATCGTTCGAGGTACTAATTCCATTATTATCTCTTTAATCGTCGACGATATCATCAAATCCCGCCGCTTGGAAGCGTGTTACTCTTATAGACGTTGGAGCCAGCCTAACCAGTAATGGTGAGAACTGTTAGAAGAAGAAGATTATCTTTCTAATATGATTTATATTATTTTACCAGCTTCGAAAAAAAATTTAAATTCAAATCGATTTTAGTTCCTTTGCATAGCTAATGTAATTTATTCCATTTATCACCTTAAGAGCAAGGAGTTGCCTCCGATAGGAGTGAACTTCCCATTAAAAATCGACTGACGCTAATAATTCGTCTGCATTTCTATCGCCAAATGGCTGGCAAGAATTACTCATATGCTAATAATAATCAGCCAAAGAGAGTGACCATTTACTTACTTTTTATTTGAATACAGGAAATAAGGAATAAGGAATCACTATGCTTTTCTAGTAATAATAATAATAATACAAAAACATTAATATTTAATGCAATAAAATAACAATTAAAAAGGAAATATATACAACTTAAAATGGGCTAAAGATATAATTTTATAATTAATCGCATGGGTTATGTTTTTCTTCATTATTATTTTTTCAAATGATTCAGTTAATAAATGAATACATTAAATAACTTCAACGAAAGGCGTAATAATTAATGATTTTGATTAGATCGGAGCCAAATCAAATTTTTATTAAAACATTCGCAAAAAATGGTGGCTCAGCTTTGCATACAATATTTTAATGGCTTCAAATTATAATTTTTCATCTTAAAAGCATTATATGATTAAATATTAATTAAATATGCAAAAATTTTATTAGAAAAAATAAATTAAAGTCTGGAATGAAGAATTTGCGAATAAAGAAAAATGAGAGTTCTGAAGCTAAAAATTAGGAAATAAAAAGAAAAGTAGGAAAAATAGAAGTAGGAAAAATTTTTGGTAGCGAATTTAAAAAATTTTAACGATAGATTTATAGTTTCTAAGGGTAAATGAAGCGAGCCTAACCAGAAATATTGAGCGCTAACCAATATTGAAGATACCATTTTAAATACCTTCCTCGTATTACAATTTTCATTGGCAAAAGAACTATGAAATAGGATAGGAAGAAAGACAGAAATGAAATGAAATGCAAGAAATTCGAACAATGAAATGACAAGAAATGATGGAATAGATGATAAAATCCTGGACTTCATCGATAAAATTATATATAATTCTATTATATATAATTTCTAATTCTAAATTATTATAATGAAACTGTATGGTACTAGCGATTCATTTTCATTTCGATCGTCAATTAAAATTGGCCAAAATTTGTCTGGTTCAATAAGCTAGCGCAATGAACCAGTAACGGTGAGGAAAAAAAAAAGAAAAAAATTATAATGAAAAGAGATTACTTTGACCAGCAGCACCGATACCAAGTGTCATTTTCCATTCCATATCCCGGATTAGAGAATCGATATGATCGTTATCCAACTGTCGCTTTTGCTGTAAATTTTTTTGAATGCATTTTTCATGAGAAAAAAATGGGAAAAAAACTTCTTATCCAATATGTTTTATTTCTACTCTTCATATCTACCCAAAACACAAAATTCTTACGCATACACGATAGACTGATTCAATTGTTTGAGGTGGTACTGTACTTCTTATATGCGATTCTTGAAAGGCATTTGCTATTCGCTGAGTTCTCGTTAAGCCTAAGGATTAAACGATAGAATTACGAAGATTCATATATAGATGGCGAAAAAATTGAGTTCATTTCGTGCTTTTGAGCTTCTCTTCCTTATGGCATGGTTATTTCTAATTTGGCTGGCTTCAGCGAAAATCAAGACGTTTTGAAATTATTAAACAAGAGCCAGACAACAGTTTGGGATATAAACGCGGAGACCTAATACTAATACTAATCGACTACCTGCTTTTTATATCTTATTGGCCTAATCATTTCAGTCAATAAAGGAACCTTGATCTCGTAATTCACGGGCAAATTTTAATGCTTTATCACTGCTGTCATGTTGTTTTGCATTGCTGTAATGGACATAGCTAGGATTGACATAGTTTTCATAAGCAACAGTATAGGCTGGCGTTTGAGTCGCATATCTTCTGATATAAGTTTGTGGTTCTGCTATATAGGAACCACCCAAATTCTCCACACTTTCACTGGAAAATAGCAACAAAGTGCGTAATAAGCCAATTTTTTGTTAAAGAAATTATAGACCATCTTCGCTAAGTAGAATGTCGCCTTCGCCTTCACGTTCACATAGCTGACAAATTTCGTTATATGCTAAACCATGTAATAAGTGGAGTCAAAAAACGAGGTGAGCCAATCAAAACCTGGACTAATACCTTCAGGAAAGATTTTGAACATGTAGGAGACCATCAATAAATGGATTTAGACGATGGAAAAAGGAATGGCTTATATTATTATCAGCGATGGCGCAGCTTGGAAAACCCTTCTAGCCAGCCGAGCCAGCATAACCAGTAATGGTGAGAAAAGAAGAAATAGAAGAAGTTTATATATCAAGTTTTTCCTTTCATAATAAATAAAATAAAATTTTATTCCGAGAAAACAATTATTTTTTTGATTTGTGCAAACTATAGTACAACCTTTAACCTTATAACCTTTTTCATTTCATAGTTTTTCCTCCATCAAATGATAAATTTTCTGCAAATTTGAAAGTGTCCGATTTTCTGGAGAAAGTGAAGTGAGTAAAATAAAATTCATTGAAAACACCTATTTCAATTTTATCCTAAATTCATAATTTGTGCGCCAAATTTTTCAGGATCAATGGAGAAGATTTATTCCTTTTTTTAAAAAAAGTTTTTTAAAAAGCTTTTACTTTTTTGCTATCAAAAAAACCAACTTTTCACGCTGATAATATGAATAATATTGATTATTTAAAAAAGAAGAAGGATGATGGATTTGCCGTCGCTGTTCGCCATTCTCCTTACTCATCTATAATTTTTTATTTCATGGATATTTTTATTATTTAATATTAAATATTTTCGAATATTTGCCTATAAAAACAAAAATGAACCGAATCGGTGTATCGATAAAAGTCGCTGATCGGCACAGTGTCACTGGGACCATCGCACGAAGCATAAATCTACAATTTAATGTTCTGGTTGATTTGAAAGAAGAGAAAAAAATATGAACCCTTCTTGATTAATTAGGAGTCTTCTTTTAAAGAATGATTACCAGTAGATTGATTATACAAATCGTCAGCAAACATCATTTCTGGTTTATGGTTTAGCGATTTTATTTGCTATCGAAATAAATCTCATATGCTGCGACTCATTTCTACTTCATCTTCCAAGAATATTTGCCTCATGCGACGAGCCAGGGAAGAGTATCAACCAATAATGGTAAGTATATATACATATATATCTGTATTTAAAAATACTTACAGTAAAGACGAATTTAATGATTGGCCATTTGGCACATCCTCATGAAATTTGTTTAATAAAGCAGTTGATCTAATTCAAGCCAAACAATTAATGAACCAAGCCGTTTAATAGATTGAATGGAAAATGCTTGTGTGAAAAGCAATTTTCCAGTAACAGGTGATGTTTATTCAATATTTTAACGAATCACATCGTCGAAAAACATGTGGCTCATAGAAAATTTTTTAAAATTTTTTTCAAGAATTTTAATGAATTTTAATGAATTTAAAGAAAAATTTGATTTATTTCTCAGTTAATTTAAAAATAGCATTCAACAGAAATCAACCGAATTTTTTAAGGCCAGATTTATTCCTCTCAGGAGCAGGAGAAGAACCTTATGCTTCTCAAGAAAGTAGCATAAATCACTACTTGGCTATCTTATATTATTAGAGAATTTATCTTTATAGATGAAAAAGATTAGTTAATCATAAAATAACAAATATAAATGCAAAAATTTGCTAAAAGGGTCAAATCTTAAGAAATTATGAAATAATCTCACTCGTCATTTACATGAATTGCGGGGGTCTGATTAAATTGAATTATGGGAAACAGGTTTAGCTCCAATATAACAATAGAGAAAAAATAGAGCGAAAAAATATTGTTTACAAGAAAAACCTCTTTCACTCCCTATGGGTGGAAGGTGTCATCCTTCCCAGTCCTCGAGTCCAGAAGCCTGGGGGATTGAGAATTCTGTTTTTTTCAATTGTTCCTAGCAATGTCCCAGCTTTTCTGGATAGATCTTTGATATTGTTTCTGAATCTGTTGAAGCCACTTTTCTAGCTTGGAAGCCACATCCCTATTATCAATAGGATTACTCTGGATTTCATTTTCCACATCCTCCTTAGTTCCTGTTTCAATCCTTGATATTTCTCTAATTTCTCATATTCCTTCATCTTCCTGACGTTCCTATCTTGCTATGTCTAGCAATGAATTCTAGTTCTTTTTACTGATACGATTCCTGATTAATTGGCCAGTAACTGTTTGTATATATTATATATAGATGACAATTTTCTGTGAAATTTTCTATTATAAAGTTTATTTATATATTTTCTATTATATAGTGAAATTATATAGTTTTGGGAGATTTTAAGCCATATGTCGAGCAGATGTTTCTGTAGATGATGCCAGTTACTTCATTATTCCTTTAAATGTGTGCTATTTCTGCCAGCATTTTGCATCTGCCACTATCTATTGGATTGTTTCTGGAGCGTTTTTTGCTTATACTCTAGTCTACTCTAGGATTCTGTCTAAAGTGGCAGAGATCTTTATTTCAGTGGATCTTAGGCCTAATGCTTGCTCTCATTCTCTTATAATCAATGCTTCAGTGTTGCCTTTCAATCCAGCTTTTTCCAACCACTGGTAGGATTTCTCAATTATTTAGCTATTTGTCGATGGCACGTCCCATGGAGAATTTTGCTATGGTATTCTTTTTTTTAAAGAGTACTCACCATTTTTGTTCGCTGCGCTGGCCTATCTGATTGGACAAATAAGCCAAAGAGCTCCTTGGCGATGGAAGTCCAGGTGAATCGCCAGCATAACCGGAATCTTTGGTCAGATTTAATACTGCCAAGATTTCAACATCCGAACTGAGCAACAATCCACTGAGCTATTTCTACTTTCCTTTTGCTTTTCCGCTTCTCCGTTAGCCGACAGCCCGAATGGTATTCAGTAGATTCGAACTCAAGTTTCAACTTTCGGTGGTAATTATATGTAATTATCTTGCCACTAAACCACTGATGACCATGGTATCCTTTGCCATATATAAAAAAATGCCCTTCTTACTTCTAGATGGCATGAGTCCCTCAACTTCGAGTGCTGTACCAAAGACCTGTGAGATTAGAGTAAGCAGATAGCTAGGTAGGAGATAGCAGACTAAACTTTCAAAGTATACCCAATAAAAGGCCCTCATAGACGTAGAAAGGATTTGCTACGATTCGAATTGTTATTCCATATTAATTACCTAGGCACCGAAATAGCATAGCGATTAAGGCAATGGTATATACACACCACCAAACGAGGTATTTTTGGCAGTGGTTTTGCTTCGCGAATTTAAACTCGTAAATCTTAATATAAACTAACAAAAAATAACTTATAATCGCTAGCACAACTACTTATTTATGAAAATAAATAATAATGATGAAAAGATAACAAGATGGTGCAAAAAAAACATCCAAAATCCAAAACATAATCATTCATAACCTCTTGACATTGGCACATCCGAATAACATACATTTTTTTCTGAAACTGAAGTTATCTACTGCAAACCGCTAAACAAAATCTTCAGAAAACCATAAATAGGATACACAGAATTCGATTTAATTCGTGATATAGCAAAATATATAAACGAACATTCCGTTGGTGCGACAGAATCAGCAACAAATTTATCGAAAATAACATATGCATGTGCTTTTGCATGCCATTCATCATCAATAAATTTATTTTAGAAATATTTCACGGAACCAACTCTTCTGATCTTCTCATTAACATGATAGTAGCTGTTTCAATAGCAAACAGTAAACAGTGAAGCGAATCTGATCCAGATTATGATATCTGCCAACAACAAATTATATCATGTGTAAAGACAGTAGCAAAGAATTATGTCAGAATTATATTGTACAATTATATATCATACAATGTGATAGTGGTGAATTTTATATCGCAGAGACTAGAACACTATTCTGATAAAAAATTCAAGAGAGTTTAAGATTTTTGGTAAGCACAACCACTTAGAATTTTCTACGAAAACCTGCCATTTACAAAACAGAGCCATGACATTCAATTTCACTATTCCATATTTAACAATTAAGAATTGAAATTTTCGAATTAAAATTCTAGAAAATGAAAAAGTGTTGTAACTGATATGTTATTAAATCAAGAATGAAAAAATAAGAAATGTTATAAGAAAAAATAAGATAAGAAATAAGAAACCATCCGTTGTCCCCGACATAGCTGAATCGAACCATATGTTTGTAATTGTAAGCAAAATGGGAAATTATATCTGCCAGAAGCTTAGGACCAATAACTCGAGAAGATGGTCTTTTAGCCAAACTCTTCAAATTTTGTCCGTCATCCTTCATATCAACAAATATACACTCTGGTATGGAAGAAAGAAATATTACCAGATGACTTGTGGACGTTGCAAGCCAAGCAATAATTGTCCACACTTTTTCTAAATATAGTATAGATGTTGCTTGCTCTTCCTCACTTCGGGTCTCGTGTAATCACTAAACATCTGGCTCCGAATAGAGGTACTGACTATATCATTGCGGTGTTTCGGTCAGTCGAAATGCAGCAGTTGTCTGACAAGGCTCATTCCGCTTTGATTGAGTAGAAACCGGTAAGTGATCGCATGGTCTAAACCCGTTTTAAAAGTGAGTTCTGCAGTATCTCGGTCAGTGCTCCAGTTCTGTCGGCAGATGAACGGGATAAAGATAAGTTCTATGAGGAACTTCAACTGCTAATAAAGACTCTACAGAAACATGATATGGTCATAATCGGGGGATACTGGAATGCGTGCTGTCACAATGCCGCTGCAATGACCTCGACAGTTGGCAAATATGGCATCGAAGACCAGTGCGACAATGGGGAACACCTTCTTCGCTACCGACAAGCATGAATTTTTTGTTACTAATGCTTACTTCTAGCATTGTAGAAAACATCTAGTCACATGGAACTCCTCGAGTAACCAACACATCAACCAGATTGATTTTATCTTAGTCAGTCGCCGTTAGAAAAATTCCGTACTACATAGTCCTTCCTATCGCGGCGCTGAACAACCTTCATGGATTTGATTATGGTCCTAGCCAAGATTCGCATAAAACTGACAACTTGCAAGAAAAAGCCCCAAGATCTTTCAACTATCTCAAACTAAAAAATTCTGGGACGCATTTCTGGGAGTAAGCGCATTTCAAATTCAATTATTGAAGTATTTCAATTTCAATGTTATAAATATCAATGATTTTTCTGGAACAGCAAATGAATATTAATCCCAATTGAAGGAATGTCCCCGAAAATCAGCCACTCGTACGCTAGGACACACTAGTAGGAAGTGCGCTAGTTGGGTATAGAAAACAGCTGTCCTACTGTCTGAAAACGCTCCCAAAGCACGAATGTCAAGAAAGCTTGACCACCAGATACTTCGAAGGACAATGACAGCAGCAGGCGGGATAGAAATCTCTAATGGAGCATGGCCTTGTAAATGGAGATGCCGGCTAGATTAGGCGATAATAAGAAACTATTCCGCCTTCTTCATAAAGCTATAACTTGAGGAACAATCAATGAATTGATAAGGGATAGCAATGGTCTGCCTGTTAAGAATTTGAAGGGCCGCATCATAAGATGAAAGGAATTCTTTGAGGCCAAATTTAACTATGAAGCGTCATCTACTGCTGCCCAAAAAATAACTGAAACGCTTATTGAACCATACGTTTGCAATTGCGAACTGCCAATAGAAGAAAAAACAATCTCTATTATCCATAAGCTTAAAAGCAATAAAACTCCGAAAGAAGATGGTCTCCTGAACCCTTCAAATGTTGTCCATTGCCCTTTAATATGCACCTTCAACAAATTGTATATTCTGGTATGAAAGAAGAAAATATTACAGATGACTGGAGCAAAGCAATTCTGCTCCCAGTTTCCAAGGAAATTAACAGGACATATTGCAATAATTATAGAGGAATCAGCCTACTAAATGTTTTTTGAGAAAATTTTTACTTTCCTGCTACTCAACATACTTATGGCAGTACAAGATGATAGGATGACCGTAACCAAGCTGGGCCATCAGATCAAGGCACAGTTAACTAACTAGATATTCATGCTAACTAGATATAAGAAGGGTGTTGGAATATCGCTTCAAATATCTGCAATCCACCGTTACATGTTTCATCGACTTTGTGACTGCCTTCGATTTAATTGATAAAACGGCGTTTTGGAGGGTGATGGAGTGCGACAGTATTCCAGAAAAGATCATTCGATTCATAAAGGCATTTTATCAGCATGCATCAGTATGGTCTATGTATATGAGTAAGTGATAGGCTTCTTCCAAGTAAGATCTGGAATCCGTCAAGACTATGTCCTTTCCCTACAACATTCAACCATGCAATAGACTGGATAAAGGCCACAACTTGTCGGATCGGCACTCAAGAGGAAAACACAAATCGGTCCAGAGCATCGTTTTTTACTGGTAGTTATGACGAAATCGAAAAAATCGGACCAATACAGATAAACGAAAATCTTTTCGTTTATACACAAGAAACTGATAAAATATCTATTTTCATAAATTCATTCTCCACTGAATCCACTCCAATCACAAATATCTAAATGAAATTATAAGCCAGATAAAAGTGGTTGTAAATGCATTCCTTCGGTTGGCGAAACTTTAGTCGTCGCAAAATCACTATTAAAAACGGAAGTGCACGTCTGCAACTGCTGCAACTCATTCGATCTTATTATATGACTGCGAGACAGATGAGAGTGGATATCTACCTTGACTATCCATATCTAAGACAAATTTCACTGGTTCGTCGAGTGGATGATTGCATCCATCTTCTTCCCACTTGTGTTAACAATACCACCAGTCTCAAAGCCTCGCCTTCGGTAGTTAGGGATATGTTCTTCATCATCCACCACAAGACATAATGAAGCATATTTCTTTATTTGCTAAGTAAGGAAAGTTAAGCAAGATTGATCAGATACAGTCATAAAAGAAAGATTTTAAACGTATCGGTAAACCAGCAGCAATATATGGACTTGGATGATGAAAAACGAAATGGTTTCTATTATTGCCAGAGTCAGCATAGCTTGCCTTCCTCCAGCAGAACTAGCTTAATGTAATGGTAACTGTTAAATGAAGAAATTTCCAGAATCTCTAAAGCGTTTTTTGCCGAAACATCTGACAAATTCTGTTACATTGTATCATATATAATTTAAATAAAATAAAAATTTATTGAGCAATGTGAATCAAAAATCATAGGAGTTAAAATCATTGAATAATTCTGTGAATTATTCCAGCGTATATTTATTAGAAATAACTGAAATTATTTTACCGTGAACGAATGCATTAAGACATAAAACAAAAGAATTTTGTTTTCGGTTAGTCGAAATCTTATTAACTGGTATGATTTTCAGCATGAGATTTTCTTCAAGAAACTAAACTAAAATTGTACCGGTTTTCTGGCTTGATTTGCGTCCACCGATTCATTGAGCGTGCTGTTCGACCAATATCGTCCAGACAATTGTTGATCCTTTCTGTCCAATCGTCCATTGGATAGATTTTCGCTGTCGAGCCATACCGATCGACTGTGCTCGGTCTTGCGTAAATTAGCGGCAGCGTGCTACAGAAAACAAGATTCAAGCCAAATTTTAAAAAAAATTTTCTTTCCTGTAACAGCCAAGTCAGCCAAACTACAAAATGGTAAGAAAAGCTTTTAAAAAAAGAATTAGATAGAATAAAACGATAGAATAAGAAATGTTTTCGCTTTCTGTACAAATATGTCACCATTAATTAAAAAATTTTTTGTTGATCAAATGATTATAAAGAAATTCATAAGTTATTTGGCTTATTTTTTAATTTAGAGTGTTAATCAGTAATTTTCCAAAAGACAAACCTGTAGTGTCTCAGCGTCCAGCCAGGCAACGGGAGACTTGGCCGTCGCTGAAATTCTGACATTAATATTGGAGTTTGGAAATACATGTTACCTAATATTTTTTTAATCAAAATCTTGAACTGAAACAAACTATATAATATTATTCATCAAATCTAGAAATTAGTTCATGAGTTCCTTTTATATAAGTTTATGTCCATGGATTCGAAATACTCTTCAAATATTCTGCAACTTTTTTCAGCTAAATGATAAATGATATTAAAATCTGAATAAATGATAATCAGGGTAAAAGTCGAGTCAATAAGATGCATGAGGTCTAAAATTAAAACTAAAGTTTCTTTTAATCATTGTAGGCAATTTAGCTGGAGCTTAGAGTAATTCGCAAAAGATATCAGTAGCAATAGTTTGAAAAAATTTAACTAAGTATAATGAATTATTTCCTTTATTTCCTAACATTGTAGTAATATTTTCCTACCATTTTACGGTTCTTCCCGGCATTTCTTTTATTGATAGACGTTTACGACAATTTTTGAAGCAATAAGTTGATATCGAACGCGAACACTAGTCTTACTGGATTCCCCCATCGCTTGGGGCAATGGAACATTATTGGCCCAATCTATTTTTGGCGACTTCCAATGTTTTTTCTATGTTTTGGTTATTTTGGATTATGAAGTACTTTTCAGTTTCCTATTCAGCTTCGATCGCAGAAAATCTTCATGAATTTGAAGATCCACCAGATCTTTGGCTGCCTTATAAATTGAAAGCACCACTTCCAAATTTCGAAAATCGCCTTTGCAGCTTCTTCAAATCAAATCCATTCATTTTTCTATAGTTTTCTTTCATTCATCATATTTCTATTACTGTCAATCTTCAACAAACTCAGCTAAGTAAAGCACATAACTACGATACTTTTAACATAGATCACCAAATGAATAATACCGTATTTTTATCACAAATTTAAAAAAATTTAAATTAAAACACCAAGAAAAATAAATTGTCAATTATATAGACATCATCGTTTTTTTATAGTTTTTCCTTATTTTAGACATTTGTTCTCAAATTCCTTTTTTTTCTTAGAAGCTTGCCTTGGATTTCAGATTCTTCAATGCTGATACGATACTTACGAAACTACGATGCTTTTTTCAAAAGAATGAAAGTTTTTTCCACTAAATGACTTTGCAAAGAGCCTTAAAAAATGGCTGACGTATATGATGAGGTAAAATTTTCCCAGCCAAAATTTGATTTTTCGGTGCGAATATGCACTTCTAAATTATCACGTCGCAGGATTATATCGTTCAATTTTTTCAATATTCATTCAATGTTTTTTTTGGACCAACTTAGATTATGAAAAGCAGAAAGACTTCATGAATTTATGAACCGGATCTTTGGGCGTCCTGCAATCATCAAATTTTCGAAAACCTGGGCACATTTCGTCTTTTTCACCTGTTCATGTCGTATTGATGGTGCATTATTTTCTTTGGCAAAATCGTATGAATATAATGACGCGAATGTCATTCCGCTAAATAATTCACGTGCTGTTAACGAGCCATAAAGTGGGATTTCACGGATCTCGATTAAATAAAGTACATGATATCATAATACTTCAAAAATGACTTAAACTTCTTTTCCAGCAAAAAAAACTCTTGGTTCGAAAAAAAGTGACGTTATTTTTTGATGACATGCATTTATTTCTTTTTTAAATAGCTCTTGAAAATGTCCTCTCAATTCTATTCTATTGTTTGTCTTGAATCAAAATAACAATTAGTTGATGATTTACAAGGTGATTTCCATCATTTGACCAATAAAATAGAAAAATTTTTTAATGAGAGATGGAAACGGCTGATTAAAGGAAAGAGGAAACTGGAGGAAACTGCAATAAACTTAGAATAGGGAACTTACGAGATATGGAAGTACGTGCTTTTCCGTTATTATTGGCTGATGACCGCCAGCTAGATGATAAAATCGACGGCTGAAAATAAAACCAGAAACATACGAAGGTAGAAAGGAAAAGAAAATTATCAATTATCAGAATTTCAATTAAAAAATTTTAAGCAACTGAAAAACATACGGGTGGGTGTATAGGGGGTGGAGGAGGAGGCGGCGGTGGTGCCATGCAGCGTTACTATTTTTGCCGGCTAATTCAACAGTAGAATATGAGGGACTCTTCCTAATCCAGCTGAAAAAAAATTCATAGTTAATTTATGGAAATTATGGAATGCAGAATACTTTGGTAAGATCAAATTATTTAACATTTACGACATAAAAAACTACTGAAGATTCATCAAATTTTTCGAGGAAACTAAGAAAGTTCGATATGATGAGAACGACAAATAATAAATTTTTGATCTAGTCTGGATGATAAATATCAAATGAAGAAAGAGAAGATAGGAATTTGAAAATTTCTAAAATCTCACCATCAACCAAACTGAATTAAAAACGCATCATTAGAGCTGAGAATCTATTGAGACAAATTTCCTAGAAACTGGAAAATTTTATCTAATTTTTCTAAATTTCAATCATTTTCTAATCGGATTATTAATAATTTAATGGAATGCGAGTTTATCAAAATCATTATATAAGCCAATAATTATCACATTAAATTTGATTAAATTTTTCGAAATCTGAAAGCATTTCACAGAGAAGCGTAGGCAAATTACAACTTTTACAATATTTATAAATGTAACTATTATATTACATATTGAAATACAGTACATACATTTAGTAGGTCTATTGCCACGTTCCATCAGACACATTTCAAGAAGATGAGCTGGATCATTCGAGATCGTTCATTTATATTAATTATTATTCTATTTATTCTTTTTTATACAGGAATAAGCTGATTCTCCCATTTATAATTATACGATAAAAGTGCAGTACCACAAAACTATCATATATTGCTAACTTCAAAAATTCCATTGGAGCTCAAAATTAAAATATAGAATTAGAAACTAGTCGGTTATGCGACATGAGCTGTAGCAGCTGTCTGCAACTGCAGTTGTAATTCAGAGACTTTTTTTTCTCACTGAATTAGCAATTAATTCAATAGAGATACAATTAAGGTTCCTATGAAATAAAAAATGAAACACTAAACGCTTATTGACTTTTCTACTTCGCTAAAGGACCACGAAAAATTTCTGGTGTATTCCTTATGAATTGAATGACAATCCAGAGAGAATCATTTTAATTCCTAATTCGATATCAATGCATATACTGAAATCAATAGAAATAGAGCATCGAGGTAAGCGTAAGTGTAAGGAAAGATTTACCTGGGAAAAGGATACTGAGGAAGTGGCGATAAATAGCTCATAGCAGTAGCATTTACTCGAAAATCCACAAACCGATTGCTTCGAATTTACAGCACAACTCTGCTGTAAAATATTGCTTTCTCTTTCAGCACATTTCATTTTCAATCAATCATTCTATAACTATTCCTACACAACCATTTCCTCTCTCTATTTACATTCTAAACGACTCCAAAAATATTTCTATGCAATCATCTCTCTATATAAAAAGTCCCCACCAGATGCCATTCCGCTATTCCATGCGAACTATATGGATCAACATCAAGCTCAGGTCCTCTACTATTACTAGGGGCCTATGAGCTTAAGGGTTCAGTGTAGTACCATAGCTGTTCTTAGAGGTACGGTCTTCTGGCCAATGATCTCTGATTCCATTCTAGGAATCTATCGAAGCCACTTTTCCAGTTTAGAGGTCAGGGCTCCTAATTGCTCTACCACCGCTACATTAAGTGGGACCTTCACATACCAAATCTTCTCTAATTGCTCTTTCAGTCCTTGATATTTCTTTAATTATTCATTCTTTCTAATGTTCCTATCACTTCATATTGATATATATGATGTCATCAATTCTCATGTGCCGATTTCATAATCTTTATATATATAAAATATATATATATATATATGTATATAAAAGAGTTTATTCCTTTCTTCAGAATTGAACTTTTTTTTAAAATTTTTCCTTTCTAACCTCGTCTTCAATAGAAATAAACTTGTCATATCAAAAATCTGAGTGCGACCCACCTGTAACTCTATCCCCAAGCGGCTCTGTGGTGAAATGGTCAGATCCTTCGACGCGCATGGTACTCCTAGGCTGATGGTACATGCGATAAGTATATCTAAGACTCATAAATAAAACGTGCCTTCAAGATATGACAATTACTCGAATCCTATCAAAAGGAACGGCCCTCTGCACGCGTAGCGAAGTGTTAGCCGGATCACTGTGGGACGTCAGAACACTTATGGACATTGCAAGCCAAGCGATCACTGTCCACATTCTTTCTAAATATCGTGTAGATGTCCCTTACTTGTCGGAGGTCTGTATTCCTCACTTCGGATCTCGTGCAATTGCTAAACCTGGATCCGAGTGTCAGTAACTATATCTTTGCGGTGTTTCAGTCGGGGGGAAATGGCGTAGCGATTTTCATGTTTGAAAAGGCCCATTCTGCTTTGATAGAGTGGAAACCGGTATGTGACCATATGACTTATGATCGCTTAAAAGCTCTATAATATCTCGGTCATTAGTGCTTATGCTCCAATTTTGTTAGCAGATGATTGTGATAAAGATAAATTCTGTGCGGAACATCAACTGCTCTTAACAAAGTCTCTACCGAAACATGGCATGGTTATGATCTGGGGAGACTGGAATGCATACTGGTCACAATGCCGCTGCGATCATTTCGATTATTGGCAAATATGGCATGGAAAACCGGTGCGCCAATGGGGAATTATTTGTTATGCCGAAGAGCATGAATTTTTCGTTATTAATACTTGTACTTACTTTATCATCGTGCAAAATATCTATTCACGTGGAACTCCTCGGGTAACCAGCATATCAACCAGATTGATTATATCTTAGTCAGTCGCCATTATAAGAATTTTACTAGATACTTCTTCCTATCGCGCCTTTATGGATTTGACTATGATCCTAGCCAAGATCCGCATAAAATTGACAACTTGCAAGAAATAGCCCCAAGATCTTTCAACTATCTCAAACTAAAAAATTCTGGGACAGTAAGCGCATTTCAAATTCAATTATTGAAATATCTCAATGGTATAAATATCAATGACTTTTCTGAAACAGCAAATAAATATTTACCCCCAACTGAAGAAATGACTCCGAAAGTCAGCCACTCGTACGCTAGGACACACTAGTAGGAAGTGCGCTAGTTAGGTATAGGAAACAACTGTCCTATTGTCTGAAAACGCTCCCAAAGCACGAATGTCAAGAAAGCCTGACCGCCAGATACTTCGAAGGATTACAATGACAGCAGCAGGCGGGATAAAAATCTCTAATGGAGCATGGCCTTGTAAATGGAGATGGCGGCTAGATTAGGCGATAATAAGAAACTATTCCGCCTTCTTTATAAAGCTGATTCGGGGAACGATCAGCGAATTGATAAGGGATAGCAATGGTATGCCTGTTAAGAGTATGAAGGATCGCATCATAAGACGAAAGGAATTCTTTAAGGCCAAATTTAACTATGAAGCATCATTTGCTGCCTAAAAAATAGCTGATTCTCTCGTCGAACCATATGTTTGTAATTGCTAACCGCCAATACAAGAAGAAATAATCTCCTTTATCCATAAGCTTAAGGTCAGTAAAACTCTGGGTGAAGATGGTTTCCTGAACTCTTCGCCTAAACTCTTCAAATGTTTTCCATCGCCCCTTATAATGCACGTTCAATAAATTTTTCTCGTATGGAAAAAGAAAATATTACCAGATTTCTGGAGCAAAGGAATGCTGTTCCCAGTTCCCAAGAAAATTAACAGGACATACTGCGACTAAATGTTTTTCGAGAAAATTTTTACTTTCCTGCTATTCAACGTATTTATGGCAGTACAAGATGATAGGATGACCGTAACCAAGCTGGTCCATCAGATCAAGGCACGGTTAACTAACTAGATATTCATGCTAACTAGATATAAGAAGGGTGTTGGAACATCAAATATCTGCAAATATCTGCAATACCCACCGTTACATGTTTCATCGACTTTGTGGCTGCCTTTGATTTAATTGATAAAACGGCGCTTTGGAGGATGATGGAGTGCGACGGTGTTCCAAAAATGATCACTCATAAAAGCATTTTATCAGTATGGCCTATGTATATGAAAAAGACAGGCTTCTTCGAAGTAAGATCTGGCGTCCGTCAAGACTGCGTCCTTTCCCTATAATATGCAATAGACTGGATAATGGACACCGCTTGTCGACACTATATAAATCAGTCCAGAACATCGTATCACGATCTTGAATACGCTTATGATGTAATCCTTTTGCTGGCACTTATAACGAAATGCAAACAATGCTAAACAAGGTATCAGCAACTACAGCAAGAATCGGACTCAGGATTAATTGTAATTAAAACGAATGTCTTTTCGTCTTATATATATAAGAAACTGATAAAATGCATCTTTTTATAAATCATTGCCGATTGAGGAAGTGCCCGATTATTCCTGTTTGAATTTTACATCATACCGCTATATGTTGGACTGTTTCTAGAGCGCTTTTGCGCATTCCACCTTTTCAGAAAGATCTGCAGTCAGAAATCGTGTCCATTTATACTAGTATTATTCTATTATTTGTTTATACAGAAATAAGCCGATCGTTCTCCCATTTATAATTATTTTTTATGTGCAGTTTTTTTTAACGGATTCATGTTACTAGTATAGTCTTGAATCCTATCTGCTGTGGTACATCCCTCTTTCGATGGATATGGTGCTTCGTACCTACTATTTTATTGCTATGATCAATGCTTCAGCGCTACTCCTTTAATCCAGCTTTTTCCAACTGATAGGATTTCTCAGTGTCAATCACCTCAGCTATCTGTCATTTGTATATCCTGTGGAAAACTTTGCTTTGTTATGGCACTTTGTCTGGTGTCTGTTGGCTTCAAGCATTTTTTAAACACGTCATTTTTTGGTATCACGTTACTGATATATCTTTTAATGCTCGGATTTCGTTTAAGATGGTGGCACGCCTACCAAGTCTCATTCGCCTTTTTTCTTGTTGGTATGCAATCTGTGGGTGTTAGTCCCAGGACAGAAATTTCCTTGTATTTCCGAATCTTCACATTGACTTCCAAGTTTTCCTTTGAATCTCACCTACGTATATGAGGAACATAGATTATGGCGTGGATTTTATTTTACCCATTGAGCTGGTTCTTCAAGAGTTATCTTATAGTGCTATTTGGTTGTTGCTTTCTTCGTTGCCTTTTGTGGCTGTTTAGATGCAGGATAATATAATTATAATTTATAATTGGTCTATACATCTACATTCTGCTGGTAGTTCCACGTTTTATATGTATATATATATATGTATATGTATATATGTGTATTTGATCTCTTTTACTCTTCATGTTGTTCGATCATTTTTTAATGCAAAAATCATTTTATAATAAATCTGCAACAATTTATACAGCTGGTAATAACCAAATATAACCAAGTAACCATGTATAGTATTGTCCAAGATCAAGCAAAAAAAGGCTAACGCTTTTATTAAAACCACACAGTAACACTTCCTTAAACCTTTTCAGCTAATTCTGCTAGACTTTCTAAGGTGCTTTAATTTATTGCTAAATTAATTATTGCCGTAACTGGTATATATATATATATGCAAAAAAAGAAAAAATTTGACCTATCTATAAATTGGATACCTATTGGCCCTTTTAGAAATACTGGATAAAACTATTTTCAACTAACTGTTCATTTCTAATTTCAAATTTCTGTTATAATCTATAAACTAAATTTGGATGAATAAATTTGAATTTGGTTTGTCAAAACATTTTCTGAAATAAATAAAATAATTTAAAAAACAGCTTTTGTTTTTTAATTGATCCCAACGGATTTCGATTCATTCAATGAACATATCTGCGCAATAGAGACACATATACAAGAAGAACAAAAGTACCTCCAGCACAAAGTTATTATAGAGATCAAAAACTGGTGCCCATTATTAGACCTCTAAGTCAAATAGGTTAGAGATATTCTTTAAAAAAGAGCTGGCTATAATGACTATTGAGTTTAATGAAAAAAATGAAAATGAAAAGAAAGGAAAAAGTTCAGTTGAATTTAGATGTGACAATTGTTATAAAAGAGTGTGCATTAAAGAACATTTAACATACGAAAAGGAGGAAAACAAGGACAAATATTTGTTAAGTGATAAATTAACTGATTGACTAACTATTATTAAAAATACTAGAAATGATATACGAGCAAATAAATTTTTGTGCAAATGCCACGACCCTTTTCTCCCAGTAGCATTTTTGGCTTTTGGCTATAATTAATCTCGTTTTGAAGATGAAATTACCTTCATTAGAGAATCATTCGGAAAAAGAAGTACAAAGGGATTTTCAGTACCACTCGGATCTCAGTACTAATGAAATTGTGAT